CTTTTAGGGATCTGACAGCATCTTTTGCACTGTACACACAAAGGAAGCTATCCTTATAGTGCAGTGTTTCTCAACCTTGGTAACTTGAAGATGTCTGGACTTCAACTCCCAGAATTCCCCAGCCAGCGAATGCCAATTCTGGGAGTTGAAGTCCAGACATCTTCAAGTTGCCAAGGTTGAGAAACACTGTTATAGTGTTTATGTAGAGGAAATACACAGGCATCTGCCTCCCTTAATCCCATTCACCTTGCCTCTTCACTCAATCAAATATGTTTTCGCATTTCCTGTTGTATATGGATATATATGTACTAAGGAATTAGTGTGATTTATATTTGTTTCATATGCAGTTCTGAGGTAGATGTATACACATACATTTGTCTGAATTCTTTTGTTATCATCTTAATTTTCTTTAAAATTAATAAAATTGATAATTTTAACTTTTCCTTTTAAAAATAGATAATGAACATAAAGAATTTGACTATTGCCATGATCACAGATTGCCAGAGAATGACAGAAAATCTCCTTCGGTGATAGAATTAATGATGACCACAGTTTATGAGAATACTAAGAAGCAATATAAGTCAACTGAACACTTTCCAGAACAAAAAGTGCAGATGTTAAAACCCAGTGTCATTGAAGATAATTCTATTGAGACACCAAAAGATGATCAATCAGAACAGAAAGTAGCATTAACTACTTCAAAATCTATAATGGATAATTCAAAGAATTTTGTAAAGGTAATATTAATGGATCAATATCATGTATTCTTGGCAGAAATCAAATTAATATGACTGCTGTTAAAACTTGACATGATTGCTATACAAAGTAGCATAATGTTGAAGTGTCCATACATGATATACACAATATATTTAGTTATTCATAATGATTACAAGCTTAAACTTCAATCTATATTGTAATGTTAAGTGACAAAGGTCAGTATTTGTAGTTTCTAATGGAATTACCTTTTCTTTTTCAGGCAAAATAAGTACTTGAAAAAAGCAAATTAAGAGTTTAAGTGTTGAATTGTAGCATAACAATTATAGGTTATATCTAAAAATATAACTGNTAGAGGATTGCACAAGGCATGAAGGTAATTCTTGTCTGTCCAGCTGTAGGAAACAGACACCTGTACTGGGTAATACTGGTACAGGATAATGCTGGAGATAGACGATCATTTTAGTGACAACCATAAAAGCATTATTTCACATGACATGGGAGGTAAACCACTCCTGTAACCCAACCCATGGATAGATAAAGTAAAGTGACTGATAATGATCATGCTGGATAATGGCCTCTCAAGTTGGATGATGCAAAACCTACCACTGAGGAAAAACCTAGGATCTTTCAGAGAACTAATTGTGTTTCTGATGTGGCTTCAGGTTATCTGATGTTGCTGATGTTGCCATATAGGAGGAAAAGTCTGAAACTGCTAAGATAGAAGTACAGTGGGAACATGGAACAAAAGAAGCATGCACATGGGACAGCACGATACAGTGAAAGATGAAATGATTTAACTATATTTCAGCTTCTTAGGTATCAGCAAACTGAAATAGTTTGGAAATGGACACTTCCAGAACTACTCAAGGTCACAAAAGCATGCGGAGGAACAGCATTGATTTCACAGTCAAGGAGAACATAGGAAAGATGATACTTAAGTACAATGCAACTAATGACCAAAACAATATCAATTAGACTTTGTGCGCAACTCTTTAATATGATATCCAAGTTCATATTCCAACCACTAGTGCAGAAGAAGAGGAGGCTGATATGTTTTATGGTTAAGTTGAATTAGAAATTGAGAAAACATGGAAGCAAGATGTGCTGCTTGTGGTTGGAGACTGGATTGCCAAAGTTGCAAAATATTAAAGAAAGAAATATAAAGTAAGTAGACTTTATACTGACTAAGGAAATGGAAATGAAGCAAAAAAAGAGGGATTCTCAGTTTCTGCAAATCCAAAGATTTCTTTGTTGCTAACAAAGTATTCAGACAAAAAAACACACGCATATAAATAGACATCACCAGAGGGAATACACAGAAAACTATTTGACTGTATGACTGGTACAAGGAAGTGGAAGAGCTCAGTTATAATAGAAAAGACATTGCCAGAGGCTGACTGTGGAACAGATCATCAACTGTTCCTGTGCAAGCTCCAAGTCAAGCTAAAGCAGGAGAAGAAAACTAGCCAGTTTCCATGGTATGATTTTGAGCACATGCCCACCAGTTTCAAGGATAACATCAGGCATCATTTTCAAGTCTTGATCTCTTATTGATTAGGAACCAGAGGAATTATGACGTTGTTAATAATGACTATGAAAAGCAAATTGCAAAAGACCAAGAAACAAAAGAAAGTAATCTGAATGTCAAAACAAACTGGAAATTGCCAGTGATAGCATGAATCCAATATGTGAGGTCGCTCTACAGCAGTTCCTAAACTATTGCTCTGGTTTCTGCTGCTGAGTTTGGCAGGACAGGGTTATCCTCAGTCTAAATATAATGTTTAGGCATTAAAGTATATGTGTATAGCATGGGTATGCAAGAGCAATTGAACTGCTCTTGTAAGTCTTGTTTTCATTCAAAATATTTGGGAATACTATATACATATAGTGCAAATACATACATATACACACACATACATACATGCATACATACACACACATACATACACACACACACACACATATATATACAGTATATGCATGCATTTTGAGAAGGTCAAAACGAGCTCACACCAAACAAAGGAATTTAAAATTGTAAAATATTCACTACGATGGGAGAGAAATGGCTTCTGATCCTACTGTGAAGCACTGTGGTAGGTCCTAATTCTAGTGCTAATGATCCATAGTCTTCGCTTTCTCATGGGCCACACTGTAAAACAATGGCTGTGGAATTATTTCCAAAGAGGATGATTCATAACATAAATCCCAAAGCACAGGATTTCCCTTTGGGTGGGAATGTGCAGAAATTGTGCGGTTAGAGAAACATTCTTGTTTAATTCTCCTAAATAAATCAAATGGACTCTGGAATCTCTGAAATGTATCCATGTCCTAGGGCATAAATGTTCCATCTTGTACATAGTCTTTGAGTTTATTTTCAGATATGTCATTTTTTTTTATGTATGGAGCATGAAATGATAATTTCTATGGTAGGATCACTTGTATTTCCCAAATATCAGTCAAAAGATTAAAATCTAATCTTTTTTAATCCAAAATTGCTTATATAAAGGCTAGCCTAGTTGTTTTCTCTTTTGTTTTCTACTGGGAAACTGGGTAATTCTCACAGAATAAAACGTTTATTTTTATTTTAACAGCTGAATTTATATTTCTAAAAATGGTGGCTTTAACATTTCCCCCCTCCCTAGTTAGTTTTGGGAGGTCCACAGTGCAACCTAGTAATAATACTTTTCTACATAAAAAGGACCAGGTTGCATATCTGAAGGTTTGCCGTCCCAACAATTAGAAATGAAACAGGTATAGCTAATACCTTAAATATTAGTCATGTTATTACTTCCGCCCTTTTTTCCTGACTTCTTATTTTCCTGATGAAATTTCTTGGAAATTTGAAAACTTGAAATTTAAGCTTCAATTGACCTAATAAAATTTTCTTCCCTAATGGCCAACATAGGTACTGTTGCATTTTTATATTTGCAGATACTGTTGTAAGGATTTGAATCTGGATATTTCTTCTTTTTCCAAATTTCAGACTTTTCATTGGAGCTCTAAAGCAACTGTTCCTTCCATTATGATTTAGCTCAGATTCAGATGTTATGTGGTAGCTGAAGGTACCACCTCTTCCTAGGTATGCCAGGTCCCTTCCTTATAGTCTTGGATACATTGAAAGTTCTTTCTTATTCATACTCTTCTGTTTCTGTGGGTCTGGGGTGATAAAATAAAGCAGAAAAGGATCCAAAATTACTGTATTTTTCGCACTATAAGATGCACTCCCCCCAAAAAGTGGATGGAAATGTCTGTGCATCTTATAGAGCAAATATTGTGCTGGGAGGAGGGGGGCTGGTATGGCAGCAGCATTCGCTGCCGCTGCCTGTCACTGCTGCTGCCGCTTGTCACCGCGGCTGCTGCTTGCCGCCACTGGGGAAAGCTGGAGCCTTTGCTGCCGAGCAGCTGATTGGCGGTTGGCTCGGCCTCCCAGAGTACTGCCAACCAGCTGTTTTAGGCAGTGGTGATTGCTGCTGTTTGCCACTGCCATTCACTGCCGATCACCATTGCCACCATTTGGTAGTGGCAATCGGTGGTGGCGGCAAACAGCAATAGGTGGTGGTGATAGGTGATACGGCGGTGATCCCCGCCACCTGGAATAGCTTATCAGCGGTATTCCGGGCGACTGATCCAACCGTCAATCAGCTGCTTGGTAGCAAAGGTTCCAGTGTTTCCCAGTGACGGCAGCAGCTCAGCTCAGTTAACTCAGTTAACCCATAACTGAGTGGGCCTGATGAGCCACGTGCTAGGACTGCAATAATGTGCTGAAGCTGGCCAGGCTGTTTGCTGTTTGCCGCAAGGACACTAGCCAGATGAATACTGGATGGATGCTGGGAGGCAGAGGCAGATTTTTTTCTTCTTGTTTTCCTCCTCTAAATCTAATGTGCATTTTATGGTGTGAAAAATACAGTAGTTCAGAGCCCAACCAGTTGATCTAGAGAACTTCTATTCAAAGGTGAACAACTCAGGATTGTTGGTGGTATGGTGTTCTACTGGATGAGATTGCTTTTCCTTCTGTTGTCTGCAAGTTGACCATAGCAACTGGACTTTTCTTTTTTGTTTGAAACATTGTTATCAAAACAGTGTCTTCACTATTCAGACAACTGAATAGTGTCTTCAGTTTTTTCAGAAGCTACTTGGATAAGCAACGAAACGAAAAAGAAAAGAAGTCCAGTTGCCATGACTCAACTTCCAGACAACTCTGCCTGGATGACTGAGAATCTTCATCGAGATTTTCCCTTCGGCTGTTGCAGAATAGTAGGTTAGCACAGTAGAAATCGTAATGGGTAGAAACAGACCTGGGGAAAAGGAGTGGATCAGTTACCAAAATATAATGGTAATAACAAAGGGGTAGAGCCACGGAAAGATAGAATGCATGTAAGGATTTGATTATTGTATAACATATCAATAAGAATCTTAGAAAATATTCTACTTAGTATATAAGCAGAACACATTGCATGGTCTGTGCGGCATATTACATAAAAATATTGACCATTTTAGCTTTTTTGTTTGTGGGATTTAGTTCCTCTGCACAAAAATCTCCCCCCACCCCCCAGCATATTTGCTTCCCCTTTATGGGAACCTCACTTAGAAATACTCTGCAGGATTCCGTCTACTGCATGAAAATATTTGGGACCTGAAAATATAAAATATTCTTTGATAGTTTTCTGAGTTTACCCACACATACTATATCTGCACTTGCTCTGTAATTTACTCAGTTAATGCAACAGATAAAATACTCCAGCTCATTTCATCTTGCTATGTTTTGGAGATTCATGAAGTACCAGGCACTGGCAAAGAGATGACTGTTCTAATTTAGATTAAGTCTAGGAAAGAAAGCATTCACTGTAGCAGGTAGTGAAAAGAGAAAGGTGCGTTGGAGGTATTAAAGAGTTTAGATTTCACCCCAGGCATTTGGACAACAAAGGCTGTGCTGTTCATGCAGTAGCTGATGTATCATCAGCTGCTAGAATCAACTATTACTGGGTGAAGCTGCAGATCTTGCAATATTGCTTTCTGACAGCCTTCAATTCATTATACGCTTTTGTTTGTTGCTGCTACCATAGTACAGTTTAGGGTTGAATTCCAAGGGGGAAAAATTCTTACTCATCTATTTTAACAGTTATAATGTTCTTTTTAAAATACATGCAACTCCTTTTTTGCTCATTCCTAAGTTTGAAAAGCAGTACTTTAATAACAAAAGCACTCAGGGATGTTAATAATTTTTTGGGGAGAATAAGAAACTTCATCATGGATAGTTTACTTCTAATACTTCTATTCCATTGTATTGTAAAAATCATTTCAACAGAAAATTTGTCTTAAAGTCCTTTAT